ATGTGCCATAGCAAACAACCGGTTCCTTTACTTCAGGTTCATAGGGATGGTCATCCACCTGGTGGTAAGGATCCTTAAGAACTATGATTCCGATTCTAGTTTAGAGAACTATGGCCACAGGCCATGCGGAGGATAGACCATACTTTGGTACCCCCCCCCAAAGAAGAAAAAAGGAAGCATCACCCCCATAATTCACTGGTATCTACAGTAATAACCGGGGGTGCATATGTGTGTGTGTGTGTGTTTGCATGTATGCATGTGTATATATATATATATATATGTGGGTGTGGATTTCAACAGGGGACCTGCAATGGTGGACACCAACATTGGGAGATTCATGTCCACCAACCTCTTGTGAGGAAATCCCCGCCCCCCGGGTTGTACTGTAAAATCAGTGAATTTGGGGGTTGTATGTGTGTATGTCTATATACATAAATACATATGTGTATGTGGCGGGGAGGGGGTACTACTCCTGGCCAAATGACCACAGGTATTTTCCCGATGTAAAAAAGGTCATGTTTTTAGTGGTTTCCCTTGATGGTCATCCCATGCAAAGGACCCCATATGTTGCTTTGTATGTGTGATTTACCATTTGTCTCTGCATGTGTTGTGTCATTTGCTGATACCTAGCAGTTCATCCGTGCTTTTGTCAGTGGGAAATGACAGTGCATACGAGCCACCGATGGGAAAATTTAGGGCTTGTCCCCCTGGCTTTTGTGGGAAGTTGGGAGCTTGTCCCCAATGCCCCTTCCAAACGGACAGTACACTGTAGAATACCAGTATTTTGACAGAACCTGATGTGTATACATATTCATCCATGCGATTCTTCTGCTTCTTCTTTAGGCAGTCTTTTCTATGTAGTATCCAAACAGAAACCCAACAGGGTAAAGCCTCAGCCGAATGCTCCCTGCAGCATTGGTTCAACCGCCCACTCAAGCAGAACCCCACATGGCCCCTTTTCTCATATACCGAAACCCTCGTTCACTCGTGGGGTTGTCTTTTCCTGAAGGGAAATCAATCCTGCCTGGTTGTGTGTGTTTTTTTTGCTTTTGCTTCTTCTTTAAAAAAAAAAGGGAGGAACAGAAGGAACACCCACCCCATTTTGCCGGGTCCACAGGTTAACACCTCTCAGCTTGGGTGCCCCACGGAAAGCCGCTGCAGGGATCCGGAGGCGTGGAAAAAAAAAAGATCGGACATTGCAACTTGTAGATGGCGGTGTTTCCAACTATTATTTTTGGTGTTGAAAAAGCCACACATCTTTTTCAAATGGTTGCAAAATGGAGAACCTTTGAGGAGCCCTGTAATAGCTGCCTTCGGAAAAACAACCAGGTCGCCGCTGGTCTAGAAGAAGAGAACCTAGTGACTCTTGCGATCGGTTCGATAGGCAGGGAATGAGAGATGGACTGACCCCGAGAAAAACCATCCTCTATGGTTTCCTTTAAGGGAATCCCCAATGGTTCATGTCCAACCATCATTTCCTACCTATCGCACTGGCAAGTCAGACCGACTTGACTTCCTTTAGGGGAAACACCTTCCGTTCCGAATCCTTCCCAATTCCACGGAGGACATTCCCTGCACCAGCAAGGACTTTAAACCACGCTGAAAAATTCCAAAAGGGTAACGAAACAAATCCAATCGAAACCAAACCGCCAAAGGGGGTGCAAACCCAACCAATTCGAACAGGATCAAGACTTATACCGTATACCCAGATGGCACCATGGGCCTGCAGCTCCGTCTCCACGTAGGGCGAGGGATCTGACAATCCAGGCGTCCGTCTCCAGTCGCCCCGTTGGAATGGGTTCCAACAAAATGGGCTCGGGACTCGGATGCGTTAATCTCTTCCCCCTATTAATAAGTACGGCCCCCCCCCCCTATTATAAATAATTCCCACCAATTAATTGGGGTCATTCATTAATTGGGGGAAGAGATTAAAGCACATGCTTGTCCAGTGCAAGCGATGGGACTTGGTTTGTTGGCACCTGGTTCGGGGTGCCCTGAGAAGAGTCAAGGAGTATTGCGCGTGGAGAGACACAGGAGTATCCCCAGTCGGGGGGAAAAACATCAGAGCTTGTCGCAGTCAGCCGGTGAAACAGCTTGAGGGAAGAGCTTGCCACTGAAACTTAATTGTTCAGTGACCCTGGAAAAAACAGGGATCCCTTTTTGGGGCTTGGACCATTTTTTGTGGGGCAGCCACCAAAAAAAGGTAAAAAGAATTGGTGCCACTGAACAACTGAGGAGAAAAAAAAATGCTCAAGCTGAGACCCCTCAGCCCCCACTTAAAGCCTCACCTTTCTGCGGATTTCAAATCCAGCTCAAGGCGCCGAAGCCCGAAGCCTTTTGGGTTTTGAAGAGGCCTTACCAGAAGCCTCGTTGAGCCAGAGGTCGGTACCCCTTGCGTGCTACCATGGCCAACTTCCATTTGCTTCAGCCTGCTGGGAAAAAAATATATATAAAAATGTCCGGTAGTGATACTCTTAAGCAAATGGATGCCAATGGGTGGCAAAGGGCTCTGCTCACGTGCTGACTGATCTCCGTCCGCTTGCACCCGAACATCTTCGAACCATGGGGCAAACGACTCCGACAAACACCAAAGCCCCGCCCAACAACTCTCTCCGGCCCGGCGCGACACGGAGTTTGCCCTTCCGGGACTTTCAGGAGAAGCGAGTCTTCGGGAGCTGAGCTTCGGGCTCAGAGTGAAACCCTGGAGCAACAAAACCACCAGCACTTCGAGGACAAACATTTTGGCAGACTTCGCAAGCCCTCAAAGGACTTCGCAATGTTTATTTCGGAGGAATAAGCCAGCCCTGTTTTTTTGGGGGGTGTTGCCTCTCCACTGTTTACCTAATGATTGTCATCATCCAAACTGGGTCCTTGAAACGTCTTTCAATTGGGGTTAAAACCCTGCATTCGTCAATTTCAGCTTATTCAAAGGGGGGTGTTTTTGGGCTTAGGGGGGAATTCAGACTTTGGGGCAACACCCCTAAAGCTTTTAGGGGCCAGGTTGATTCATCCGGGGTCAACATTGCGAAGTCCTTTGAGGACCTGCGACCCTGGCACAAAAATGGTGGTCCAACATTCATGTCCAAGGTTGGGCGCCTGATTGACCCCAAGCTGGCGGGGGAAAAAAAACTGCGACGGTTTCGACGTGTCGCAGCCTCGAACGGTTGACCGTGCACGTCTCATCTTGTCGGGGCATCCAAGAAAGACAGCAAAACATCACCCGTGAATTCCACCAAAAGGCCCTTTGAAGGACATGAACTTGCGGGAACTCACGTGCGTGGTTGTCAAAATTGGGGCCCCTTTCTTGGATTCGGGTGCCGCCCTGTGCCGCCTTTTAAAGGGGATACCAACACATGCATCTCATTTGGACAACCCCCCAGAATGTCCACCAACCACCGAGCTTCCCTGAAATTCCCTTCCGGGCGCGCCTTCGCGGATCAGCGCAGTGCGGTTGGAGTAGAGCAGCAGCCACGAAGACCTCGATCAGGATTGCTACGCGACAGATTTTTCCCAGAGGTGTCTTCAGAAAATTGAGAAATCGGCCCTTCTCTTCGGATTGGATTCTTTCAAATCTATATATATATATATAAAGATCTAGAGAAGCACGGCCCATCACAGAATCAGTCACATGGGGTGTGTCTCAAAATGGGCCTCCCCCCTATTGGCTCTCCTTGTTTGCTCAAAAAAACCAGCCCTTTCCTCTCAAAAGCAGGGAAGCCACGCCCATGTAGGGGCTTCTCGCATCCTTTCTTGCCGGTTGTGGCGGGGAAACCCAACAGCGCAACAGCGCAACAGCTTCATTTTGGGGGGGTCCGGTCCAACGTCCCGAGAAAGGAGACGTCAGCCGAAGACGTCCCCCCCCCCCAAAAAAAAAAAAAAAGGTTTGGGGGGACAGGGGTGCAAGGTCCCAAGGAAAACGGCGCGACGCGCGCGGTCTGTGACGCCTTTGGCGGTCCGGGAGCCGGGCTCGGGAGGCAGAGAGACGTCGCAGAGGACGAGGCCCTCGTGGCGCAGCTCGCCGCGGGAGGAGATGACCTCAGAGAGGGTGGGGGTGGGGTTGGGTGGTTTGTGACTGGGGCTGGGGGGGGGCAAAAAGGGGTGGGGATGAGAGGTGGGTTTGGGGTGGGTTTGGGGTGAAGTGGGGTGAGGTGGGGGGTGGGGGCGGTGATTGGGGGAGGATGGGGGGCCTAGGGGGTGGGGTGGGGTGGCTTTGGGGTGTGGTTTTGGTGGGGTGTGACCTGGACACGGGGGCGGGGGGGGGGGGGGTGGGGCTGGGGGGGGTGAGATTGGGGTGGTGGGGGTATGGAGGATGGGGGGATGGAGGAGGATGGGGGGATGGAGGAGGATGCGGGGATGGGAGGGATGGGGGATGGGAGGATATTGTTTCGCGTTGCTTGGTGCTGTTTGATTGGGGGAAGATGGTGCTGTTTGGTGCTGCTTTGTTTGATCCTTTGATGGGGTGGTGTCTTTCGTGTTGTATTCGGTCCTGGGCTTCGTAAGGAAAGGTGTTGCTTGACGTCGTTTCTGGTGATTGTTGGGTGTTGGGCGCCCTTTTGGGAAGGAAAGGATCCTGTTCTGTTTGGTGTGATATTTTTCTTGGTGATCTTTGTTTTGGAGGGTTCCAAGTATGGTGTTTTGGTGTTGGTTCCGTTGTTTTGTGCGCTCGGGTCAACGTCATTCGAGATGTGGGAGGCACAGGTGACCTTTTGGAACAATTGATGGGTTCCCCTCCTGACCTACCTATTCCTAGCCAAACTAACCGATCAAAAAAGGACACCTATGATGAAACCTCCAGCTCCGAAAGCGCGCGCAGCCGTTCTTTCCCTGCCAAATGCTTTGGTCTCTATGGTCTTTGTTCGCGTTTTGCGCGAGGCTCGGCATGTGCAATGTGTCAAAAGCACGGAGCCCCACATGTACAACCCACATACAGTCCCCCCAAGTGGGGTTCACCTGTCCAGAGGTGAAAAAAACCCAATTGACAAACCACAGACACGACCTTGGGCGAACATCCAAGTCAGAAATCCAATTCAAAGGAACCGAAACAAAGGCCCATTTTGACACATGGAACTGAAGGCCCCCTGTACAAAGAAGGGCGCCGAGTCTTTGCCCAGCTGACATCACCGACTCCGGCCGGCTCCGGCGTCTCACAGACTCACAGTTCCATATTGTCGAGGTTCGTCATGTCTTTGGGATCTGACTGGCCGGACCGGGCCTTGTACATGGCTTCTCCAATGATCTTCTTCATGTTGTCATCTCCTGACATGGGCGTGCAGCCCTGCCAAACTCGATCACTTGGAGCAGACCTCTGGTTTCGACACCTTCCCAACTGAAAACCACAAAGAGCGAACACCTCCGCACCTCGCAAGGAAGGAAGCATCTTTGCATCGTGTTCATGTTTGCGTCTCGTAAAGTAGGAGGACTTGTTCAACGAATCCCTGGCGTCTCTCGCGGATTTTTTTGTTTTTTGTTTTTTTTGTTCGCGTCTCACATGTGAGACACATAGCCAAGAAACTGGGACCCTTGTGATCGAAATGGTGTCTTTTTTGCGGGGTCCGGTTTGGGTGGTTTTAGAGAGAAAAACCAAAAGCAAAACCCATTTGAGGTGGGGACCGGTGCCTTCTTCAGCCAAGCTGCCATCCTCATACAAGTCCTTCATCATGGACATCAGTCCATCCTGGGGATCTGTGGTATCCTTCGCCGCGCTGCGCCGCTTGCCCTTTGCGCAAAGGTCCATCCAACTCTCATAGCCATACTTCTCCTTCACCTGGCGCAGGCACTTTCGCGCACGTGCTGTCGCCTCTCACTCTCATCTGGCCCGAACGGAAAGGGGAACGGCCAGCCTGAAAAAAGGCCCCAACGGCTCAAGAAAGTGTTCAGGTCTTGGGTTGAAGCCGGGCGTTTTTCTTGCGCTCAGCGTCAAAGCACCTGAACGCATGGAATTTCACAGAGAGTACCCACCTTGAAGAGGTGGGCCCACACAAAAACAAATCGGCAGGAACCAGATCGAGGCTGCCACATGTTCGAGCACGTCCTTGCTTGGAGCCCCACAGAATTCGGGACTTTGTGTTGGTATGATTGACCAGGAAATGGATCTAAGTTGGGATGTTAGCTTACAAATGGAGCAACTGGACTTCATGGATCTCCAGGTGCCCTTGAACAGAATCGGCTGGATGGCCTCTGCGGAACTCTGATCCAAGGGCATGCCTGGGCTGTGTCTTGTTGTGAAGGGACTGGCCCCGGATTAAGCAGAACCCCGAAAAGCCAGGAGATACTCATCGCGCAAGGAACACCTCCAGAAGCGAAGGATCTGGTTGATTCACAGGGGATGAATTGCCCTTTCCGGGGTTGTCTTGCTTGACGTTGAAAGGGGAGCGAAAAAAATATTTTTTAGCAGCCAAGTGGTTGGAGTTCAATCATCAAACCACAATAAGCAAAAATGCAAAATGTTTCCCAACAACAACCGAGTTGTGTTGGTTGTGTCAAAAGGGAAACTAGCCACTGCTTGGAGCCAAATTCCTATCGAGCTGCATGCGAGCCAACCGCAGCCCGCCCGCCCTCCCCCGCTCTAGGTGATTTGCCGACTATGGGTCAAAATTAAAGCACCAGGATATGAACCGCAGGTTTTAGTCCTTGGTTCCATTTACTAGGGTTCCATCATGGATACCCATTTTCTATGTAATTTGCCGACTTGAAGGACAAGTTCACCGCAACCCGCCCTCCCCCCCCCCGCTCTAAGCGCACTTGAAGGATTGAAGAACCAACTCGCACCTTCCGCAGCGTCACCAGCACGTGGTTCTTCTTCACCCTAATGCTGGACTCACCAGGCACGATGTCCTGGCAACGGTGCGAGGCTTTTTCTTGGTTGCTGTTGACCCCCCTGCAAAAAGTGAATAACTTTTTGGGGGGTTTAGTGAAAAGCCCAACTTGATTTCAACCAAAAAAGCTAAAGTCTAAAGATCCAACCCAATAGCAGTCAAGTTTTTGCACGACAGGCCAGGTGCTTGACACAAACGAGTGCAGACCTTTGGGCTCCGTTTCCCAAGAAATGGCTCCCTTAACATAAGACACACCCAAATGACTGTAGTTCAAAAAGCTGTCAGGGATGTCCTTCTGTACGGGACCATCAGGGTTTGGCCCCTTCTACCCCTTGGCAAGCCAGTTACAACGGTGCTACACTAGGTTGTCCCATTCGGATCCCCTGCTAAAAGTCGAAAACTTTTGGGCCAAATGGAAACCCAACCACTAAATCAACTAGAAAGCTAAAACTCGACGGCTGGGAACTTCAAGCCCGGCCCTTCAGTCGCTTCAGTCGCTTTGGCCTGCTCTCCCCGCCCCCCCCCGCGGCCCCGCCCACTCTGCTTTTTTTGTCGAGAACCAAAACGTGCTTGCGCGTGCCCGGGGCCGTTCCAATGAAAGTGAATCCTGGCGATTCATTTAGCACATATGGAAGTGCGGAACCATGTACCTGAAATGTTTGCTGATTGTGGAAAAGGAGAGACAGCCTGAACATAGGTGACCTTTTGGTAAAATAGATGGCCCTGGAAAGTGAGGAATAAACCCCATCTAAGCCAGTGCCATCTATCTTTAATCAAACTCATTGACCTCAAAGGGACACCTATGGTCATCATATATTTCCTGCTCCTCGATCCAGGGTCTCCACTTTTTCACTATTCCAGGGTAGACTTCTGAGGGTGGTTCATTCTTTCACAAGGAGAACCCCTGCACTTACGTCCACCCCTGCTCCTCCATCCGTCCATTTCTGCGCCATGTCTTGACCGAAAAGGGCGGCTTCGAGCACCCGTCCTTCTCCAGGTTCGTGCGCAAAAAGCGGTAGTTGTGGCCCTCCAAATTCAGGACCTTCAGGTCAAAGGAGTCAGGCTTAAAGTCGCAGGTCACGTTCTCCTGTTCGGAGACGTATAAATGTATACGTACATATGTATATGTATCTATATATAACATATATATATATATATAACATATATATATATATATGTATATCCGCCTCTGAGGGACCCTATTCTATACATCCTCTTGAATAGTTGGCCACAAGGGCTGAAACTGCTATGATCTAGGGTTCCAACTCCGTCAAAGGTGAGGTTTGATATCACATGACACCCAAAGAACGATTGGTGACCTCCAAAGAGTTGGAGTTCTCTACTTGAACTGAACAAATCCTCTCAAAAACTCGCCTGGAACCGGGGAGAAAAAAAAAAGAAAAGAAAACAAAACGACAGCAACAACAACAACAAATCCATCCACAAGGAGCCTCCTAAAGGAGGTTCTTGACCAGTTTCTAGCGGGGAACTTCTTGGGAAGAGCCACCCATGTCTTCCAAAGGAGGATTGGCCGATCCTTGCGGGTGTTTCAATCGGCCGTTTTGCATGAATGTAAGGGTCCCCCCCTTCGCGTACCCAGATGGTGGCTACAGAGCGGGAGCATACAGGTCAAAAAGACCACTAAAAGCGTGAAAGATACGGGAGAGTGCCTAAATTTTGCAAGAACACCAACGCGCATCCCCCCACAAAACAGTATTGCGGGAAGTTGCAAGGTTTTCTTTGCTTCAATCAGGCGGATTGAACAGTCGCATCTGGATGCCCAGATCTGGAGCCAACATTTTGAAAAATAGAAGCCAAGGGGAAACCATTGCCAGGCTGATACCAGCAGAATGAAAGCTCATGTCTTGATTGGCTATATCAGTGTTTGTCACCGAATGTGATAAAAGTTTCCTGAGTCTGGCCTTGAGTCATGGGCATGTCTCCTGATCTGAACCCCCCAAATGGGTGTGTTTTCGTTCTCTCTCTCTCTCTCTCTCTCTCTCTCTCGCTCTCTGGAAAACAACCCGGAAAACAAGGCTGGTCCCGGATCCCCTGCGAAAAGTCTAAATTTTAGTGTTTTGGTGGAAACTACTGCTAAACCAACTAACAACAAAACGCCTGAGGAACGGGATGTCTGGGAACCAAGAAAAGAGATACCGACTCAGAAACGGTTCGGCTCCACTCAAATCAAAAAACCTGAAACCTTTGCGTGGCCCCGGGCCCCTTCATTGGCCCAGATCTGGGGCACAAAACAAAATCAGATATGGGGGGCTTCTAAAACCATCCAACAAGGGTTCCCCACTTTGAGAAACACCCACATTGCTGCACATGAAGTCTACCATGAAGTATACTAAAGCATTTTGGAGGAGACCTCCCATCTCTCCCCTTTCTCCCCTTTCTCCCCAGTCCGCGTCCTGGGGCAAGGCCTCCACGCCCTTCAGCCTTACGTCCACCACGATGTCTGAGTTCATGCCGCCGAGGTCCAGCGCAAAGGTGGTGATCTCCTGGCCACTTGGGCCATTGAGCGGCCGGCCCGTCTTTTTTGCGCGGGGCGGGTCAGGCCACCTCCAAACCCGGGCCGAAAAGGGGGGAAGGTGCTGGTTTCTGGAGTTTTTTTTTGGAGGGGCGGCCCGTTTTTGGTTGGTGTTCAAGGGAAACCAAAAGAACCCGGAAATCGCCGTTTTGCGGGTCTAGCAAAAAGACGCGCCCGAATTCGTTGACAGGAAGCAAAGCAGAAAGACAACGAAAGGCGCGCTCTCTCAAAATGGACTTTTGAGAAGAAAGATCGATGCGCTTCACTACTGAGCAAACCCCGTGTATCATCGTGTTTCCCAGTTTCCCATTTCCCGTCAGAAATGCTAGGGATGAAAAGACTCCCCTTGGCTCGAATCCTTGCTCCTTGATCCAGGCCCACCCATTGGGTGTGTCTTTTTTACAGTTGGTACCCCTTGTTTGTTAGTTTTGAAGAGAAACGAAATGGAAAGCCACCTTTAAAAAAAGGGGAGGAAAAAAAAAAAAACACGCTGATCGTTGCAGAAGTGAAGATCGGAGCGGAAGCCCTGGAAAGGGTACTTTCACCTGAGCCACGTCCTCAAAACCCAACCTTAAACGGATGCCTTTGCCGGCAGACCATTTGGGTCTGCTTGTGATTGGGGGCCCCCGAAAATGGTATCCTTTTGGCTTCCCTTTAAAACCACCCAAAATCCGGGATACCTGCAAAACGACCGACCCAGTTCAATACTTGATCAGCTTTTGACTCACCTGGCATATCCAACGCCCAGCGCGCCTCCCAGGGTCCGGTGGGCCGCAACTCCGCCTTCGGCTCCGCCGCCTTCGGCTCCGCCGCCTTCGGCTCCGCCGGTTCCGGCGCCGGCGGCTTCTCGGCCGCGGCCTGGCGAGGAGGGCGGGCAGAAAGCTCAAGGTGTTGCCACCGCATCGAGTTCCGGTGCAGATACTCGAGAAGACGATTCGAGATCTTGCTCTTCAGGAGAGAGGACTCAAGTTGGCCAACAAGTGAAAGCTCGAAAGATCCAATGGCAACCAAGAACATCTGGGGGTTCTCAAGTGGATCCCTTGTTGGATGGGAAAGGGAGGCAAGGACACAGCTCCGGGATTCCCCCATTTTGCGAAAACCCATATGACTGCGAATCTGAAAATGGAACACCCTGCACCTGCACAATGCTAGGCCTAAATCCCATCAGCAACTCAGACCGATATGAACACACCATGGTTGGCTTTCCTTAGGGAATTCCTGAAGAAAACAAACAAGTTTCAAGCCTCAAGACACGCTAAGCCCCAAAAGGGGATGCTTTCACCCCAACAGAAGCAACCAATTGGAGGGGTCCCCAATTGGCAGGTAAGGGTAATTTTGGAGCTTGGTTCCGGGAGGAGATGCTCTCCTGCCCTTGGATGCCAGATTTACCATCGTGTTTCTCCAAATAGGGACCCCTGAAAACTGAACTTGCTGGGGTGCCTGTTGGTTTCCTTTTAAACACCAACCAAAAATGGAATCCATCATTTTGAGAAACTCCATTCAGTTTCCAGCCTGCCACTGCTATTTGACTCCTGTTTTCCAAGCGATTATATCCAGCTATCTTTATACGTTCTGCACAGCAACAGGTGGACATTCGTGGTTTGGATTGGTGGTCTATTGGTTAAGGAGCGGCTTCGCATTCAGCAAATGGAAGGATACACACCCCAGAGCTTCCAGTTGCCATAGCAGGCAACCAGGTATGACTACCTCTATGTTTTACATGATGCTTTTCCCCTGGTTACCTACTGTGGCTTGCCCTGAAGCACTCGCAACCTACAACCTGGTCAATGGTCCTCAGATCCCCTGCCAAAAGTCTAACTTTTGGCGGGCAAAAGTAGAAACCCCCCATCAAACCCGAAAAACCTAAAAAACCTAAAAATCAAAAAAGACCAGCAACACTCCGAAGGAAACCGGAAGTACTCGCTGGTACCGCCAAATGATACCCATTCGCTGGTGGATGGCCGCAAGCCCACGCCAGTGGCGCCCCAAGGCCTGGAACTGCTTCAGCAGCTTCTGCAGCTCCTGCTGCACCGCGGGGCGCTTCGCCTGCTGCAGCAGCGCCTCCAACTCCGCCGCGTCCTCGCGGAAGCGCACCGGCCGGGGGGGGGAGTGGGGGGGGGAGGAGGGGTGGGGGTCCCAGGGGTGGAGTACATTGAACCCCCTACAAAACCACAAAAACAGAGCTAAACAACAATACCAAGCAAAGAAAGAAGACACTTACAAGAGCAAGCCAGCAAAACAAGCAAACAAACCAATTGCAGGATGCCAGCCATGAAGTAGCTGGCCATGGGCCGTATAAACAACATCAAGGCGCCACGGCGAAACTCCTCAAATTCCACCAGACACCTCGCGAGAACATCCGATCCCTCCTCCAGCGCCATAGGATCTAACCCCGGTGTGCGCTTGCACGCTCGCAAATGGCTTTTGCGGGGCTTGAGAGCAAAGGTTCCGGCAGCGTTTTTCGGCTGGCCGTCCGCATCCAAGGCCTTCCGGCTAACCGGAAAACGCGAAACCAAGGTCGCCGCCGGCTTTCGGAAATTGCCCCTGGTGAACCCCAAAAAAACAACACAAGCATGTCAATGTTTGAGGCCCGGTACCCCATTTGTTGTTGGAAAACTAAACGGAAAAATCGTTGCGCCATTTTGGGGGCGTCCTTGGAGGTTCGACCAACTTAGAATGTTGGTTTTACCAAGGCTATGACCGGTTGGTACCTGGGGTGATCGTCCCCTAACCACTACCCACGTACCTGACACAGCTTGAACACCCAAGTCCAACCTAAAAACCAACACATACACACATATCCAAAAGGGTGTCTCTTGTTTGGGGCACGCCTCAAAACTCGGTTGCTTTCTTCCCCCTCCTAAAACCTTAACTTTCAGTGGTTTCATGGAAAGCCCGCTAGTTTGTCAAAAATCTGAAGTCCTAACATCCCTTGGCAACACACGGCTTCTCTTTGCAACCCACCGACCACCGGGTGGGACTCGCTCGCGCGCGCGTTCCCACCGCTTCGGGTCACGCAGGGCTCGGCCAAGCGCCCGGGCAGGCGTGAGCCGGCCGTCGGAGACCTCCCCGGGCGCCTCGGAACGAAACAAAAACCGGGGCCCGTGAGCATGGAACTTGGCCCGCGGAAGGCGTTGACGCTTTTGAGAAACTCCGAGAACGCTTTTGGTTTTTTTGTTTGGTTCTTCGCTCGCAGACCCTAAGAACCTGTTGTTTTGAAGGTTGTTTGGGCCGAGAGGCGGACGTCGCTCAATTCTCCAAGAAGATGGAAAAGGAACCTTCTGGTGGATGTATTCTCCCAGATGGACATTTACCAGGGCCATCCCAAGAACCTGCTATTTTCAACAGCTTTTCGTTTGCACCCTTGATTTGTGAAAGGTTCTTGGAGTAGAGGGGATGTGTTGATTCACTTCCTCACAGTTTGCGAGTTCTTTGTGCCAATCCGCCCAGGTTACCATAGTATTTGTGCGTGTTGAAAGGGAAACTGAAAGGAAACCACCCACTCACTTCCTGGATGGATTGGCCCAACAAAAGGTCCCAATTTGTTTACTTACCAGTAAATTGCTCCCCTCATTGTTATGCAGGACCTCAAAGAGTGAGTTGATGTTTCTGCATCATATGTGGTGCTCTGGAATGTACCCTGTGGTTGCCTTTTCGAGGACAGGGAAATTCTATAGATGGGACATGGATTGACTGATACCTACAAGACAGGTGATCATTCTTTTCGAGGACAAGTATCTTCTTGTTGCCTTTTCTGAGTCATAAATGGAACTCAATGATCGAATTCCGAAGAGGTGGGAGATTCTATACATGTTTGCCTGGGCAAACAAAACCATGCAGGGAACTTCCCAAACCGTGCCCGACATGCATTTGGAATCAAAGTTGGGTGTGGTCCTTTTTTGGAGTTGGCGCCCTTTTTGGGATGGTCTTAACGGCGCGCAGAGGAAGGCCAGCAATTTTAAGGGTTCCCTACTTTGAGATCTACTGCCCCCAACAAACATTGGCTTTGCCCTTCGAGCCCTCGAAGACGCATTTCACTGCTGTGCGCCAAATGCGGGTACGTCCTTTTTTCAAGGTACCCTTTTTTGGATTGGGACAGACAGCATTTGCATAAGTGCGAACATGTGACAAGACAGGTTCAATCTGCGATTCATTCCTTCACTTCAACACATAGGGAAAGGTTCCCCCTTTTTTGGGGTGTGTCATAGGAAAACCAAAAGGGTGTCTCTAAGTTTGGGATTTGGGCACGCACAATTGTGGGCTTTACTTTTGGTGTGCCTTTAAACAACCGCCAAACAAAGGTACCGAGACTGAAGAAACGCCACGCCCAAAAAACGTTGCCCAGTTCGGACCCAGAAATTCTATGCGATCACCTTTTGGGGCCGCTGAAAATGGAAAGCCACACCACAAAAAAGCAGATCAGGCCAGGTCCGCCTCGCTTTCGAGAAGTGACCATGGGTCAAAATCCAATACCCCAAGTGAACATCCCAATCCCCACTAAAATAGGTTCCAAAATGGGCGGTGCACCTACCCCAAAATGGGTACCATTGGTTTTGACCCACGGCCAACGTGAGAAAAGAGAAAAACTCCTTCAGCCTTCCGCCACGCCCCAACTGGGGACGACACGTAGGCTACCTCTGGCACCGCGTCACCTCGTGGCGTATTGAATCAACCCCCAAAAAGCTCACGTCCGATCGAGTGGATTGACCAAAAACGTAGAAAAACCTTTTGGCTGGCACAAAAAGGGTCCAACCCCAGAAAGCAGAAAGTTCTGGAAAACTCAGGAAGTCAGAGGGGTCTGACTCAAAAAGGGATTCCCAACCATTTGAGTGGCTTCCTGTTGTTTGGGTTTCAACCCAAAAAGGGATCCTGCAAAAAACACACTCACTTGGCCCAGAAGTCAGAGAGGTCGTCCTGAAGTTTCTGGTGCGCCCTACGGACAAGCAAAGACACGCATAGACTCCTGAGGTAGGCTCCTGTCCACAAAAAAAGGAACCTGGAAGAGAGACCCAGGGTTCCACTGTTCGCACTACGCCAGGCTGGACTCAAACCGGGGTGGTTGACTCCCACATGGAGAAACCCCTGGGTTCAAGTCTATCTTGGGCAAAAAAGTGGAACCCTGGAGACCCAGACCGCCCAAAACTCAAGGCTCGGGCTGGCGATTTCGCAGAGCGCAGGTTGCCGCAAGAGCCGCACTAGAGGGTCCTCCGGGTCTTCCTCCTGAGATCCAGATGATGGGTCTGGGTGATGTGAGTTGCTGCCCAAAAAAGCGACATGAAAAGCTGGGCGGTTGTCCCAAAATCAGACCCACAAGCTGGTTTTCCCTTCGGCTTGCCTGTAAAAGACTGGTGTTCTGTCAGAGAAACAGCACCCCTGAAAATTCGTGGGGAGCAAGGCAGATCGGTCCGTAGCCCATCGGAACTGTTGGGGATAGCCAAGGCTACCTAGGCGAAGTGGCGTGGATGGAGATGAAAACTCCTTGCGTCCTTAGGCCCTCCTCCATTTCCCTTTTTGGAAGCTCCACCAGGGTTTTGATCAATGTTTGAAGGGGAAATCCAGTGACTTCCGTCCCTTGGGAATCCCTTTTGTCTATCTTGCCCCTTGAAGGTAGCCCAGTGGGTGATCCGCACGAGCCAGGAGCCAAACAACAACCAAGGGGGGAAAACAAAAAACACACACCAACCAACCAACCAACCAACCAACCAACCAACCAACCAGCCAACCAGCCAACCAGCCAACCAGCCAACCAGCCAACCAGCCAACCAGCCAGCCAGCCAGCCAGCCAGCCAGCCAGCTAGCCAACCAACCAACCAACCTACCTACCAACCAACCAACCAACCAACCAAAAAAAAAACAGGGCACTTCACATGGGGCCGAAAAAAAGTGGCCCTGGCGCCCTAGCGCCGCCGTCAGAAAGAAAAAACAGACTCGTTTGGCGGGCCTCGAAGCCAGAGTGGACTCGCACCTGACCAGAAACTGAGCTCCCAAGGAACCCGAAACTTCCATTTGCTTTTTCGCCCCCTGTGATAGATTCCCTTTAACACCAACAAGGGGGAAAAAGATATTCTTAAGCAAATGGAAGGAAAGACAACAGGGGTCACTGGAGATTCCCCTCCAAAAGTTGATCAATTTACTGGTTGTGCCCATTGAAACTGCCACTGTTGAGGTTCCAAATAGGGATGAGCCCCTGGATGAGGCTGCATCTGGTTGTTGGGGGAATGAGCTCGTCCATCTCGGGACCATCTGTTGACAGAGCCTCACATGGGAAAAACTGGGTCTTGACCCTGGTGAAACGGTTTCGTGGTCCTCCCCAAACAAACTACCAATTCTCAATTGCTCACATGCCGCGTGCGTTGGAGATTTGGTGAGTAGCCCCAAATCGCTGTGTGTTGCGGGCAAAACCGTGCAACCGTCCGGTTGTCATTCATCGGCCGAGACATGCCCGTGTTGACGATGTCAGCTGGCAGGCATGGTCTTGCTTGGAGTTGATACCTCTTTTGTAGTGGTTTTACAAGGAAAACCGAAAGGAACACCACAATTTTGGGGGGTCTCCTGAAAGAAGACCTGAAAGAAGACACACCCACATGTGCCTGAAAGCGTTGTTTTCATCGGAAATTGCTCTACTCTGCACATCCACCGGTTGCCCTTTGCAGTGACCTAGTATTGCCGAACTGACATGCAGCCCTTTCATTCTGGGTGAATACAACTCACAAATCCATAAATGAAGCTGCAATTTGCCCAGTTTGATCTCCTCTCATTCCCTTTGATGCAGGTGGTGCTACCTGCTTCACCTGGTACGCCAGAGGGTCCAATTCAGGCCCCCATTACGTCCAAAAACATCCCAAGAGGCAACCAACAACCAACAAGTCGACAAGCTGGATTTGCCCAAAGACCTCCCTTAGCTTACTCTTTCAAATCTACAGATGCAACACCAGCTAGAAGGGGTACATCTTGAGATGGACCCCTGCCTGTTGGGCATCCTTTGGTGGACGTCATCTAATATAGCCATATGGGGGTGTCTCAAAACAGGGGTACCCTAAAACTGCTTGGAACGGTGTTTCCCAAAAAAAAATGACAAACCCATATATTATAGTTAGACACATCTTTATCTTACGACTCGCTTGACCCCAGATTACCAACCCATCCTATTCATAGGGGATGTTTGTTCCCCTCCCAAAGTGGTCTCATTCCCCACTGAAAAAGGGGCTCTGCTCAATCCGGGATCATGAGGATTGAAAAGGCAGTAACATACCGTAACATACCAAGAGAGTCACGCAGAATACATACTGATGGACGAAATCCGTTCGCACCACTTTGACTCCATGTGTTTTGTGTCCCTTCTTAGCCTTTACAATCGAATCAAAAGCCCAGGCATAGGATGTCCACACACCGCATGGAGCCACCAACACAGCTCGCAGATTCACATGGATAGGTAACCCAAAATGGGTGGTGAATTCACCGCACACCCCCCAACACATCCCAATCCCCACTAAAATAGGTTCCAAAATGGGTGGTGAATTCACCGAAAACCCCCCCAAAATGGTACCCCAACACGGTGTTGACCCACGGCCACATCGCAAATCGAATCCCGCGGAATCCCGGCCCAGCCCGCGCCTTCAAGTCAAAGCTAAAGCCCCCCTCCGGCACCCGCCGGGGCCGCTCCAACCAGACCTCCCAGAAACCGACAGACGTCTCGATCCAAACAAGGGAGGGGCGGAGTCTAAACAAGGGATTTTTTGGATGTATCCAAAGGAATTGTTGGATGTATCCTCTATTCTCACTTTCTTTCCAACCACTGGTAGCAAAACGTTTATTTGTTGCAGCCGCCTACTAAAAATGAGGATACGTGCTAATCTTGATCTCGACCCAGACTTGGCTTATCTACTTGGACCAGGGCAAGGGAGCGTTTCTCTGCGGGCGGATTGCCGATTCTATTCACCCGCCAGTTTGCTCTCAAACTGGCTAGATAGACCCTGATATTTGTTTTCCAACCCACTGAAGTCACTGTAGTTAAATGCAAAATAAGCTGCACCCGCAAGGACACTTTATCACGGCATTTGGTCTCAATCCTACCCTCTCCCAGACTGACATGTAAGCTCCCAGGACCCCTTTGGAAGACTTGGTTCCGTTTACAGAGGCCTTCTGGGAGCTTCCATGTTAGTCTGAGGGAGTGTAAACCCCTACACCCCTTGTCTTCCATTTGGTTCAGACCCCTGGAAAAAATGAAAATAGTTCCAGTAGTGATAGATTCCCTTTAAAGCCAACAGGAGAAAACTAAAAATACTATCTTAAGCAAATGGAAGTTGCATGGCCGACACCTCTGATTTTTGCCTCCCGAAACCGGTGTCCGGCCTCCGCTTGCTCCCGGTCCTGCGAGTTAGACCATGACAGGTACTTGGCTGCGGGCAAGACTCACTGGCCGAGTGGATTGGCCCAGAAGAAGCGAAAACACTATATGTACCTCTTCCCAGAAAGTTGAAAGTCATGAACTCAAAAAGTGAGAAGATCGTCAGATGGTTGGCAACCTGGGTTGTTCTTTCCGGCCCAGCTCACTCACGAGTAGTAAATATACCCTAGGCTACCAGCGTAGCTCACCCAATACTCCAGGCTACCCGCCACTGACTAACTTGGCGAATCGAACATCCAAGTACCCCCGCGACCGGTCCCCATGGCACCCCCACCCCCCTCCCCCCCCGCAGAGGGTTGCGTGCGCAAAATCAAAAGTTGCAAAGCGCCCCCCCCCCAGTTTCTGCACATCCACCACGGCGCAAAGCGTGCTCCATTTTTGCGGCGCAGGTGTACAAGTGTCCTTGTACTTTCTCCTTTGGGTAAAAGATCGCCTCCAACAAAGAGGGTGGGACCTATCAATCAAACAACTACACAAAAAGAGCCGGACGACGTGCGAGCTTCTCTGATAGACGCTAAGCCCATGGCCAAACAAGTTGGCAAGCGCCTGGGAAGTTGCGGAAGAGAATGAGTCAAGTATTTCCCATTGTTCCGAAGTTCTGCCCGCAAGATGAGACCAAAGGATACTAAGATGTTGTCAATTGGATCCAGGTTGGTGGCTCTGCTTAGCGCACATGTCTTCCATCCAAGTTGGCCACATAGATCAGGGATCCGGATGCATTGTACACCTGAGCATTGCAACTTGTAAATGGTGGTGTTTCCCTTTATTTTGGTGGAAAAAAGCCATGTTTCAATTGGGCAAAATGTATCATTTAAGGAGCCCTGTAGATTCATGCAGCATAGCCTGCCTGCCTGCCAACTGGCCCTTGACAACACTGTCACCGGTCCAGTTGGGTACAGCACACCCGTGTCAGGCGTTAGGTCCAAATAAGTGGCTGACGCACTTACTAACTTCGCAGCAAACATCCCAGTAGCACTCAGTGGTTTGCTAAGCGGGCGCGACCCGTCCTGTGCCACCGACAGGGACGTCACAGGAGCCGCCAGCTTTTCAGCCTGCAGTGGAAAGCTCCAAAAGATGGCAGGCGATGGCGTTGGGGTCGATGGCGCCCGTTCATTTTCAGGTTGTGCTGGAAATCCAACTCATTGAACGGTAAGCTAAAGTTTGCCATACCTCGGTTTAGTGGTTTGCAGTAGCCACATGTTAACGCTTGAACGGCTTTGGAGCATGTCTGGGCTCCTTTACTGCTGATTTGTCCTAGGCTTGGCTCCGTTGGGATGTTCTGAATGGCTATTCTTGTGCTTTGTCGGCCCTAAAGAGGAACTTTGCCAGCCTGGCTCAGGTGCTGCTGCACACCCGCATGGAAAAGTGATGTCAACCCCCCAGCTCGGGAACACCCTTGAAGCATCATGTTGGCCTTTCTCAACAGAAAGCCTGTTCAGGTCGATGATCCACCATAAATCTTTCGTTCTTTTCTGGGTACCCGTTTTCCGGTCGCTTTCCGGTCGGGACAAGGCCCAGGGTTTTAGGCAACCTGCACGGCACGTGGTCTGCTTCGGTCCAACCATCCCCAAGAAATCGCGTCGAACAGACACGCTGAGTGGCGCCATCGGAAAGGCAAAAACGGCCAAATGGAAGCCCCCACCAAACTCCAAAAAACATAAAAGCCTACTGCAAGGCCAAGCAATCTCAGAGACTTCCCCGGAGGTTCTGGCTGAATGAACCGGAGTCCACAGGGATTTCGATGCTCGCAAAAACAGATCTGAAAGGAAGCCAAAAAAAGGTTCTTTTTTTGGTTCGGGGTCATATCTTCAAGAGATCCCGGAGGCTTCCCAAGAACCCCGCATCGAAAAAAAAAGAAAGAAACGCAGGATGGGGATGCTGACCCAAACCCAAACCCGACCCGCTCGAAAGGAGAAGCTGGCGCCCCTGCCTCCTCCGGCGCCTGGGAAACGGAAAAGGAATCGACCCCGGCCGGGGCCCGTGGCCTCGACTCCGGCTTAGCAACTCGGAACTTGACATTCGGCAGTAGCCGTCCAGTTGGATGCGAAGGTCTTGGGGATTGAACTGCTGGAAGGCGTGAAGCAATTTTGGAGGCCTCGAGATTCTGGTGGCGGAAGCGATCCTCAAAAGGTCCGAACCTCAAAACAAGAGAGTGCTATGAATCGCTGCTATGAATGTATTCTATGGAACTACCCAAGGTCATGAGAAAGAATGGGTATATTTCACCATGTGTACCAGATGCTAGGGAGACTGTTCACCCAAAAGTAATGGGTATCCTTGCTGGAAACTGAAACTCACCATCCTCAGCCCCCTGACTCTTGGATGCGACGGGGTGCCTCCTACAGCAAAGAAAGGCCGGGAACACCTATATAACTCAATGCGAACTGCCGACCACTCAATGGTCATGCATTCATATCCCCATAGTACACCCTGCTTGCATGTTTCAGCTTACGTGTGAACTCTTTCATAGCCCTGACTTCTAGCAAGCACCTGATGTACTTCCAGCTCAAGCTAGACAGCCTCCTGCATTGTCGCGTCTACATGTGGGCTCTCGAATTCTTGGTTTTGGGATTCGGGTGAGCCATTCTGCGCAGGCCCAACAAGGGGCACCATTTTGTCAAGCCCACGTCTGGGTATAGCTAGTATAAGGTGAGAAAGAGTGGCCCGCCGCTGTAAAATCGCTCTTCCACACAGCCAAAGACCAAGGCATTCAATGAAAGAGTGCGAAACCTGCATGTCCAAGACCGTCCGCAACTCACAAATTCCCAGCGGCCGGAAAGGATCCAGAGCACCACGCTTCAACTAGCCATTCCCGTTTCTCGCATTTTTCCACCCTTGGAGCAGCCCCTGTTCAGAAGAAAGCTATTGTTGCATAGGTAACCTTTTAGAGAATGGATGGGTGTTGCTGGCAAATCCCACAAAACCCATCTAAGCCGGTGGATCTACTTCTCACCAACCTCACCGATCAAGAGGACACCTGTGCATTGTTTCACCATGGCGGGAATGAGAAATGGCTCATGACCCCAAAGAAAAAGACCAAAGAAAACATCCAACCCACTGGCTTCCTTTAATTAAAAAGACCAATTCTTGGGTTCATTCCCAGATTCCCTATCGCACCATTCCCAGATTCCCCGCCTATCGCACCTGGGCTCCGACCCAAAACGCCAAAACCCCCGCGAGCCCCGCGCCTGCGGCTTGGCCCACCTGGCGCCATCGAGGGGTCGGGGCTGGGCTCCATGGGCCTATGAGTGGAATCCCATGACCGGGGGGGTAGGGAGCAGCGGGGTGGGCAGAACTGAGTGTTGCGGTTCTTTTTGGGGCAAAAAAAAAAGAACTCAGGGAGCCTTAGGCTAGGGTCTTCCCCCCCTTGGACCACCCCCCCTTAAGAAATCTTCAAGAAAGGAGGTACTGCAACCTGCAACTCTACCATCCAGTGGCATGGAACCCTGATAGGCGATCCTTCAAAAGCGACCCTCTGGTGGGTAGGTCTTTCTGTTTTTCTTTGGAATTTGTCAACCCAACAGTTCAACGGCTTGCTGTTGCTTTCCAAACAACTCAAAACCAGAATGGGGCCAGACATTTCTTCTGAGAAACGCCGGAACCCCTTCTCAGGGTCTCCCGAAAAGCGGCTCCCAGGCAAGTACTGCCATTCCAACAGCCTGAATAAGGAGTTGTCGAGTAAGGGACCTGGATGGCTCGAATTGCTCGTTTTACCCGCAAAAAGCAGAACGGTGAGCTCGCCTGTTTCTCGTGCACGGAGGTGTTGCCCCAAGTAGACCCATGAGGGCTCCCTATATTTCCACTTATCTTCATCACCCCAAGTTGAACCTCACCAAAACGCCCTACGAGGTGATCGCTTTTGGAACCTCCACCAAAAAAACAAGCTTTTTGCCAGAACTTCCGCCCTCATGAAACAGGCACCTGGAGAAAAACCCGCCCGTCGCGTCGCCATCACATGATTTTTAGGTCCTCCAGTAGAGAGGTTAGAACAAGGGTACCCTTTATTTGTGTGCTCTATTGTACTAGGGGAACCGTCCCCCAAACTCCCCCAAAAAAGAAACGGCAAAAGGGCACCCAGCTGGGGGACCCAGAATCCATCGCTTCGGATCGTCGGATCGAGTCACGTCCAAAACCGCATGCCGAAGCCCGCCACACCGCCGAGGCCGCGCGCTGCTCTGGCGGGCCCTGGCCTGACAGGGGTTCCATTGGCCTCGCGATCCCTCCGCGTCGTTGCCTTTTTCGTCTGGGCACCTCGATTTTTTTTTTTTGGGCTCTAAGAGGTGGTGCCCGTTCTCTGGTTTGTTTGGGGGGGTCGTGTTTCGGTTTTCGAGCCTCGGTACTTTTTCGTTGTGGGATTTAGGGGAACCAATGGAGAAAACCAAGCTACGCCAAGTTGGGTCCCGCTCCAATCGCAAAACAAACGAGCCATGGCTTGGATTGGTTTGGTTGGGTTCTTTCACGGGTCCATGTTGAAACCAAGCAGGGGAAGGCGAGAACATAGCTGGGTACCTACCTGCACCCAGGTCCCAACCACTGCCTTCTTGACCAGGTCCAAAATCTTCCCCCCCCCCCCCCCGCCGCGTGTACTGTCCAAAACAAGCAGTGGTTGGGGGGAAGCTGGCAGGGTCGTTTGCCTCTTTCTCCGTTTGGTCTTGCTTGCTTCCGTTTGGTCTCTTGCGGGCTTTCTTTTGGCTGGTTTTGGTTCGTTTGGGTTCCCTTTGCCATCCATTGCGATGTTTTGCATTTCTATTGGTTCCTTCTGGCTCCTTTTGTATCCTTCTGGTCTGAAGCGACAACCATTAATTAGCCTGTCTGAAACACAACCAGCTCCTGCTGAAACAAGGTCATCTCACAATATCCGAAAGCCCCAAAATCGGTGAGAAACCCTTCGAAACAACACAAAGCACATCGCTGTAGATATCTACAAAAGAAACAGTTATTGTGTGTATGTAATTTATCCGTAAGTAATGGCACACACCGCTCAGTGAAGCAAATACCTTGCCGCAGATATGCATATCTTCGCCGCATCTTGCGCAGTACCTTGTGAACGTAGCCAATTAAAGAAGCCGATCCTGTATTCCCAACATGCCAGTTCAGGGCGTCTCCTCCAGCAGGGGCATGGGCAGGTGCCAATGGCAGTGGTACCGGTTGCTCCCGCCCGCCCGACGTCCTCGTCAAATAAATAAGGCTTCAACTCTGTGCTAGCTTGCCCAAAAAACTACTTGCCAAAGTCGATTTGCTCAAACAGTAGCACGCCAGGCAAAAAAGCGACGCCAAAACACCCAGTTTGGCAAAACAGAAGGGGAATGTTCCAGCAGAAAGGTCATGTGCACAATTACGAGCTAGGCAGGTAATGCGCAAACAGTGGGTAGTCGACTCGTGTTGGGCAACATCCTTATTCAGGGCTTAATAAGCGTTATACGCCCGTAATTGTGATTTTTCATGAAAGCCGCCTTAAAAAGGGCTTTGTAAGAAAACACCTGTTGGTCCCACTTGTTGTGTTGTTTTTTTTTTGGGGGGGGGT